TAGTCCATTCTCTCCTTGCCAGTCATGCCATCCGGGTACACATTAAGAATATGTTTCCATACAACTTTCCTGAAACAACACATTATTATGAATGAGGCAACTTTGAACTAGAAAAATTCTTATATTCGTAAATTGATTCAAATATATGTCTCACATGAACTATTCGAGAATAGCTCAACTAATTTCAATATATATATAATATCATGTTCGAATGAACATGATATTATATATATATGTGTAAACTGCTCGAATGAGCAGTTTACACGACATTAAACGCAGTTGTGCAGCTAACACTTTTCTCGAATAACTGACGTGAGTAGAGAAAGGTGAGAGACTATATGAGAGACGGCGATGAGATATATCTCACGATAATTATTACACAAATATGGAACTACTAGCTTCTACCCGCGATGTCGCTCGCGATCCAGTAGGATATAAGTAGCTTATATGTTATTCCAGACCATAATCTATACCTGTTCCAAATTTCAACCCAATCCCGAAAAAATTCAGCTGTTTTGACGTGATTGAATAACCAACATACACACAAACTTTCACATTTATAATATTACTAGCGACCCGTCCCGGCTTCGCACGGGTGCAATATGTATATACATACAAACCTTCCTTAAGAATCACTCTATCTATTAAAAAAAACCGCATCAAAATCCGTTGCGTAGTTTTAAAGATCTAAGCATACATACGGACATACAGCGAAAGCGACTTTGTTTTATACTATGTATTGATATATAATCTTACACTATTATATAAAGCGGAAGCGGTTTGTTTTTTTGTTTGAACGCGCTAATCTCCGTAACTACAAGTCTGATTTGAATAATTATTTTTGTGTTGGATAGCGCATTTATCGAGGATGGCTATAGGCTATAAAACATCACGCTACGACCAAGAGGAGCTGAGCAGAGCGTGTGAAACCGCGCGGAAGTAACTAGCATATATATATATATATATATATGCTATATATATATATTATAGTAAGAAGTAAGGTAACTAGTGTTAAAAAGTATACCAACCTTAAGCTAGGATCAATGCCACCACAATATATAACTTCTCTCAATTTGGAAGTGTTAGTAATCTGTCCCACAGCATCTAGGAATGCTCTGAATTCAATGTCACTGAGTGGCGGCCTTGGAGCGTTGTTAGGGTCATCGTAAAAGTTCAGAGCTCTTGTTACCATGTTAAATGTTTTCTCCACCTATAAAGATGTGTGTTACTTCAGTTGTGTTGGATTACATTATTCACAATAGATGTTATTGATAATTATATGTCATTTATATTACATGACATATTACAATAAAATGGAATGCTCATTTATTTATTTGTTCAGATCATACAAAAATCTGTAAGTATATTTTCTTCAAACCCTAGAAATCATACTGGACAACACAAGAGTAAAATTGAAATGTTATGATACACCACAATAACCACCATAAAATACTTTACTATTGATGTATGCACAAAAAGGATAATTCATAAAAAAAATTACATGCATATTTATTTTTTTTTAAGGGGGGAAAATCATCGAATGACTGCTCCCGCCTGTGTGAGGCGGGAGGGAGTGTCAGACTCTTACTGACTAAAAACCACCCCGTTCCTTCTCCTACACGTCGAGTTGGAGCCCCGGTTACCCGTTAGGTTTTCCGCGACGCATATATTAGATATATATTTGCATAGCATTTGATTTAAGAACATCAATTGGAATCTACTTATAACAAGCATTTTTATTTTTAGTTATTTACAAGTGCCCTTGATATAACAGCAGATATCAGTCAGGATATACTACATTATCCTCCATCCTCCTATTTAGTATGATTATAAAATTAAATTCCTACAGTATTATAATACTCATAAATTAGTTGAAAATGTTCATATGTATGTTGGAAATGTTTAAAAACAAATGAATAAATCTTAAAAAAAATTTAAATCAATACACTAATACTTTTATCGATTTGATAAAACTATTATAGAATAGGGTAGATGACTAATTTTTATTTTAATGTCCGTCTAATAGATTATTTTACAATGTTACACACATATATTTTATTCTTTTACAGAAACAAATACTTTCGTCCGTATATTAATTTGAAATGTCACTTCTATTCAAATTTTAAATGTAGAAATAATGTTTTAGTCCCACTCCTAAACTTTGATTCAATATATCTAAGTATGTATCATTTTATTATATAATATTTTTTCATTACCAAACTGACGGACTAATTAAATTTTTATTTTTCATACCCTGTCATCATCATCCCTATTATTTGTAAATATACAACATTATTTTTAAATAATAATCTATTTATTTTCACTGTGTTAAAATGATTTTGGTATAGTTATTTTGAATTATAATACCTGGTTCATAATCATTCCTTGGAAACCAGTTTGTGTCTCTTGTTTCTCTGTTGGATGCTGTGCTGGAGCTACTGAAGGCTGTTCCTTGTAACTTTGGCTGACCATTGGAGCAGCTGGACTCACACTCGGAGGCTCCCAGTCCTCGGATGCTTCAGCAAAAGGTCTCATATCCACTTTCAGCTGCACACATGGCTCTGACTTTTGAGTTAGAGCTATATTATGTGCCCTGCAATTAATTGAATATTTTAATCAAAGGTTTTTGGCACACACATTATTACTATCTTCAGAATATTGAAAACTTAAATAGAAGGCATGTTGGAATTAATGAAACAATTTCATTAATATAGTATTGTTGTCGTATTTGAAGTATTTATAAGTATAACTATTAAATTAATTGTCCAACTTACTTAAGAAAAGCAGCATCCAAGTCCCAGTCGGAGAGTAGTGGTAAATAGATCTCCTGGCCATAGTCGTCAGTTGTTCTGAATGATAGTGTGAAATCTGACTTGATATCAAATGCTTTCACAAGTATACTTTGCAGCACTTCCAAAGACGTTATTTGAGGATCAACAGAGAACTTCCTCAACTCAGGCTGAAGCTTACCTTCGCATTTCTGTAAGAAAATATTTCTAATATTGTAGAGAACTTCGAAATGAAAAAAATCGTGAGTAACTCATAAATAACGGCGGCAAAAACGATTCCATACTTTAGCAAGGACTTTCATAATCTTGTTCCAAACAATGTTTTCTTCTGACATACTTTTACCAAAGGAATTCCCAAATATTGATTACTGATACCCAGGTTACTAACCACTTACAACTTGTGAATCCGGTAAACTAAGCATAAATAGTAACATTATAACTACAAACGAAATTACATTAAACAGATGTTCCACTTTTAATTTATAAAAATGCAATTGATCAACACAATACAAACCTTGACTTTCACTCTTACTGCTTCTTTACTATAGCCAAACATGATTTCACATTACCTTATTGTGAAAGCAACGAATATAATTACGATATGTCGCAATAATAGCAAAACATCGTGGAGAGAAATACACAGAACTTGAATAATTCTAAACTACAACACTTTTTTACAAAACAGTATCATATCGACAGACAAATTTGACACGAATGGCATTTACATTGGGAAAATTGGTTGATTTGACATTTTAGACTTTTTATGATGTTCTGTTCATTCCATTGACGTAAAAATATAGATCTACTTAAACTTCACATTATGATTTATAATGGCGGATTGAACTGGGTATAAAAATTGTATAACAATAGAAAAGTATCGATATTTTGGCATTGGTTTTAATTGTGGAATGAGCTCCCTGCCGTGGTTTTCCCAGTGGGCTACAACATGAGGTTCTTCAAGAGGGCGGTGAATAGGTTTTTTAAGGGTCGGCAAGACGCATGTAATGCCCCAAGTGTTGCAGGCGTACATAGGCCACGGTAAGCGCTTACCATCAGGTGGGCCGTGTGCTTTTTTGCCACCGTCGTGGTATAAAAAAAAAAAAAATTGCCTAATCGAATAAAGTTAATTATTATTAATTTATTTATCTATAGATCACAAAGGTAAGTATTTTATAATCTAAGCCCCACAAAACCGTTGCAATGGTTTGATTGTGGGGACGAGTCACTAGACATTACAATTATTCATTACAATATCTAGCTCTGCTTTTAACTAGCACCACTCGCATATTTTAAGCGTGAAATTAGTTTTCTGTGGAAATGGGATTCTTAAGTACTGAGTATCTGATATTACAAACCAGGGGTTAGACTATTCCAAATATCATACAATATTATTAAGTGACAAAGATACAACTTCACTCTCATCATAACTTTTACGATACCTCCTAACTGGCAACTGGCCCAACACTTTTTTGAGTGTTATGTTGATTCTAGCTCGTTCAAAGTTGAGTACTTTGATAGGGTTTTACTCTTAAAATGCGAAAATTTGTATGATTTTGTTTGGTTCATAATCTTTCACGTCAAGTGAACACAATCGGTCCATACTATTTACACCAATTATTTCCAACCTAGCTAAAGCAAAGTTTAGGCAAACTATAGAAAATTGAAATTACGAAATATAACTTTAATTATGATTGAAAATAACATAATTTTTTTAGTACTGTGAATGTTTTTACATTTCGTCATTATGTTAAGTCTACATAATTATTTTTTCTTTTCTAACTGTGTAGCTCGTCGTTCTATTTTTAAAGATTTTTTTTTTGGTCTGTACCACGACCTATGGCGCCTACATCGATTTTGATAAATAGACAAACTGTATATTTATGAATTTACCGTCGAGATATATCTTAAATTCTACCCATAGACAATAGTCCGAAATCTATATGAATATTAAATCTAAAGTTCAGTAATTTTTTTTACTCCCATTTCAAAATTTTATCCTTTTCATATTATTTAAATGATTAGTGGAATTAAAACTTCAAGCGGTACTAATAATGCAATAACAAAGTGTATAATGTACCCATACACAATAAATTTCTGGTTGTGTCAACACTATAAACCAAATATAATTATAAGTATGGGCTGGTAAACAGTGAAACTATCGTCACTACCTTATAAATTAATAAAAAAAGAAAAGTACTATACTCTTTGATCATCTCAATCTCATCACTCACTGTCATTCTGTTGTCACTCGTCCTTCTCGTCACTGTCAGTGTGCTGTGCTGTCGTCAAATAAAAATACTCGATGTACTATTTCGCTCTATCATTTTTGTGTGTTTGACGATCATAGAAAAACTACTATTTGACTTAACGATAAAGGTTACTAGGTTATTACGTGCAATAATTAACTAAGACATAATGACTACTCCTACTCCTGCTCCCCACATAGACCGTGAGCTGGATTTGTCAAATACAGGCCGAGGAGTTTGGCTCGTTAAAGTTCCAAAATACATTGCTAATAAATGGGAAAAAGCACCTGGAAATATCGAAGTAGGCAAGTTGAAAATCTCACGAGCACCGGGACAGAGGGCTCAGGTGCAACTATCGTTGTCTGAAGCTGTACTTTGCCTGAAAGAACCTGGAGAACAAAACATACCTAAGGAACATCGTCTTGACGTGTCTAATGTTACAAGACAGTCTTTAGGAGTATTTTCTCATGCCACCCGTAAGTATATTGTAACTTGTAACAAATAATTGTTTCTGTAAATTTATTGTTGAACATTAGAAATGTATGGATAATGTTGTTTTTCAGCCTCAAACACAGATGCTGTTATACCAGAGTCAGAAAAACTTTATATGGAAGGTAGAATCGTGCAGAAACTAGAATGTAGGCCATATGCTGACAACACATATTACAAGTTGAAGTCTGAGTCTATAAGAAAGGCATCAATGCCACAGCGGCAAGTACAACAGCTGGACAGGATAGTACAGAACTTCAAGCCAGTTTCAGACCACAAGCATAATGTAAGTAAAATCATGGTATTTAATGTCCGACAAAGTTTTGGATAGACTTTCCATTACCTTTGGAATTATAATGTGTATTATATCATACCTCCGGTGCTATACTGTCACTTAACCCGTTGAAATCCATCCCCTAAATTTGGTCATACAAAAGTAGTCTCTAAACATTAAAAATAAGGTCTATAATGTAATGTAATATTAGTGGAAAGCGGTCACCGGTGACCGTTTGGGGATTTATGGGTTAAGTATTGCGGGGGCCCGCGCGCAACTGAACAATGAAACATTGTTTTTCCTAGTGCCATCTAGATTAGCGCCAAAACTGTAATGACAGTAATGCCCTCACAATGTCAGTTTGCTTACTACACAAATGACAATAACGCACCAAGTAAAGAGGTGAATTGGAGTATTCTTTCATAATCAACATCTCTGTTCCAACCCTTGTGTCCAAACTAGAAAGAGTCGGAATAAGAGGAGTACCACTCAATCTCCTTAAGGCATTGGCTGCCAATAAAAAACTGTTGAAGGCAAATCCTCCGCTAATGTCGGTCACCAGTGACTGCCATGGCGTTTAACGTGTTAAAGATTACCTATCAGAGAGACGGCAGAGAGTTAAGATAGGTACATATCTCAGTGATGATGCAGACGTCTCATTTGGCGTGCCTCAGGGTAGCGTTTTGGGCCCTACACTCTTTTTAATGTATATTAACGACCTCTGTACCTTAAAAGTCGAAAACACTAGTTTTCGTACTTTTTTCGTACGCTGATTCTGTTTCTATTCACTCTTCTGTGATCATAGTATGACCGATCATAATTATTCAATAAAACTTTAATAAAACTTTTTAAATGTTATTTTATGTTTATAATTTGATGTTGGTTGAACATCTCTATTTCCATTTTATATTTTAGAAATTACAGGAAGATTAATTTTTCACTAATCTGACCTTAGCAGTATAAACATAAATACCTATATAAAAAGACATTATTTTTAAAATATTCCTCGAACTGTTCGAGTACGTAGTTAATCAAACTAATGTCAATTTCTCCTGATTTCCCCATACTATATAAATTTAACCGTGGCAACATTATGTCGCGCGAATACAGCGCTGCGTCTGCGGGACTTCTTTCGTGAAATGGACTCTAGTTCAGTTCGTTCACTGTGTTTGAGTAGTTCATCGGAACGAATCGCTCCGGAGTTACTCAAGCCTTTTGTCATGTCCTTATAAGGTTATGTTTACGTTATTATCATCGTTATATCTAGCTATTTTATAGTGTATCATCTATGGTTCTATCTTATCGGTATGAGCAAGGAGTGTTTGTTTGAGCTTGATCCTCAGTACTAAGTTGCCTAAACTAGTACTCACTTGTCTCTCGACATTTTATTTTAATAAAAAATATTGTATTCTATTTATTATGACTTCTCGTAAAAGACCTTATGTGGATCCTACCTTCCTACCTTCTAAGTCAAATGTATGTTACATTTCTGACTTAATTTGTACCTATATTAAAATAACCATTTATTAAATTTAATCTAGCTATTTAACAAGCGTTTGTTGACCATTGTCTTAATCAATATAACTTGTTACAGATTGATTACATAAAGAAGAAGTCTGCTGAAGGAAAGAAAGCCCGCGATGACAAAGATGCAGTTCTCAACATGCTGTTTGCAGCATTTGAAAAACATCAGTATTACAACATTAAGGACTTGCAAAAGGTATGCAGTTAATTTTTGAATGTATTAAATACTAGCGACCCGCCCCGGCTTCGCACGGTTGTAATATGCATATATTATACATATAAACCTTCCTTATGAATCACTCTATCTATTGAAAAAACCGCATCAAAATCCGTTGCGTAGTTTCAAAGATCTAAGCATACATAGGGACAGACAGACGGCGGATGGCGAATTTGTTTTATACTATGTAGTGATTAGTACAAATATAAAAAAATATGGGAATATAGAGTTTATTTTTCTTTGCTTTATCAAGTACTATCATGCTATTTTGTCATTGTATTATTGTGGTGCTATTTTTTTCCAATTTTAAACAGTGTGAGTCCATTATTTGTTCTCAGATCAATTAATCTGTAATGAGTTGATAATTCCATCATAAAAATTCTTTATCTGTAGTGTTGTATGCAATAATCTGCTGTATTAAATTGGGATTGGTAATATTATATAAAAAGTGTATATTGCATTTGCATTGCACACCTTGCTTGTGGTTGTGGTGGCCCGGAGGTTTAAGACGCGCTTCTCATGCATGAGTGTGCGGGTTCAAAACCTACCAATGTGACTTTTTCCGAATTATTTATGTACTTTCTATGATTATTTAGACACCACTGATATCCATCGTGAGGAAACCTGGGCTTATAATTTCTAATTATAAGTTTGTAATCGCCAACCCGCATTGAGCAAGCGTTGAGATTAATGCTCAAACCTTCTCCGTGTGAGAAGAGGCTTTGCTCAGCAGTGGGCATTTATAGGCTGTTGACGATGATTGCCCACCTTCACATAACCATCTGATAACAATAATTACCAAACAAGTTATAACTTGCTCTTTTTTTGTTATCTAAAAAGATTAGGTTAAAAAACAAGTGACTAATAAAACAGCAATTTACAGATAAGAACACTTTCTTTTTTCATTTTTCAGATCACAAGGCAACCTATTGTATATCTGAAAGAGATATTGAAGGAAGTATGTAATTACAACTTGAAAAATCCTCACAAGAACATGTGGGAATTGAAGCCTGAATACCGTCATTACAAGTCGGAGCAGGCCGCGGAAACTAAAGAGGAAAAGAATAGCTCTGACAGTGATTAGACCAATGGTGGATTGAACCTAGAGAGCGCCCTAGACAAGCTCCTCATAAGCGCCCCTAACTTACCATGCCGCGACCACCCCTCTACGGACAGTTTGGCACATGTGTCTTATGGAGTCCCTCTGTAACCTGATGCCCTACGTACTTGTCTAGTTAGCGTTAAGGATAATACAGTTCTGTATTAAATTGACTGTTGGTTGAATATGTACAAAATTGTTGAACCATTTATTTTTCTGTTGACAATCCAGTATAATAAATTATTGCCTATAAGTATGTGTTGTGTATGTCAACCTTCTTGTCTTCCTATGTCTATTCCATATTTTTAAGGTATCATTATGATATGAAAATGGGTTAGATATTATGTCCTCTTGTCTGCTGAAAGTTGCGGCCATAATGGTTTAAATACCGGGAGCCGGTGTTTCAACAGATATATATATTCTTAAACCAGACTTTTTATGCAATTTTTTAGTAAAATAAATGGCAAAACAATATCTGTATGCAACTAATCCTATGTAAGAGAATTGTACCTAGTTTGTTATTTAGAAACATTCACTACTTGGGGTATGTTAGGACAAACGAATTAAGCGTACATAGCTTTCATGAGACTGTATATATTCTGATAGTTATAAGATTGATTAGAATAAGTTATTTCGTAAAGAATCTGTTTCATACAACAAATAAAACAGTAAATCGCTTTGCTTCAAGTTTAATAACATTTAAAAATTGACGATGCTAATAATACTTGTAAAGAATACATCGATTTTAAATATAATATTCAAGTTTGTAAACATAAATTTTAATAAATATATTAATTTAAGTAGGTATATAAGGAATATTAAATATGAATAAAAATGCAAATTTGTCCAACATGGATAGCTTCAGTCGAGAGGAGATTAGAAAATTGAGAGTCGCATTATAGCAGTATTATTAGTTGACCACGTCGTACTTGGATTTCTTGATGTAACTGGCAAGAAAACATGAGAGAAACGTTCCGATGAGCGGGAGCAGTGCGGTGCCGATGGCGACACCTACCACTAGGTCCATGTTGCTTTCCAAGTATTCCGAGATCACCGCGTAACAACCCTGACACACAAGGTACAACACATTAGATAGGTACTTAGGCATCAGTGCATCACCTATCAAGCATGTATGCGTACGTAGGTACGTAAGTATCTATAGTACATACCGTACCTACATACTTACATAGGTAGTGCGTACTTATACATGGTAATGGGTTAGGATACAGTTAAAAATGTGCATTGAATATTCCGTTATATAATTATGTACTTAATTCATAAAATATTTGAAATCATCAAAAGTCAACGAATGCAAGATTTGCCTGTTCGTGGGCAAAGGTCTTTGGCCCGGCAGTGAGACAGTTATTGGCCCGTCGCGGTATGGTAAGACGCTCAAAGTTATAAAAGGTTTTCAAATCTCAGAGGCATAATCGTGACGTTATTGTGAGGACTCACGTCCGGGCCTGATCGATGCAATATTATGGTAATTAGCATCTATAAACAGTGGTGGTAAAAATAAAAGAAACTGCTAAATGTGCTTAGACAGAGCTCATTTTTGTTGCAAACCTAGGCAGGTAGTCCAATCAGTCACCAGTGCTCAGGTGTGAGGACTTAACAATTTTCAAACATGCAAAAATAGAAATCTATATAATTGATAGATAGGTACATACCTAGTTAGGAAGTCGTGTTTGGAACTTATCTCTTCATTATTAGTTTAGGTAAGTAAGTATACCCACCCACCTACCGCAGTGCGTTAAGAAGTCAGTGACCATCTGAAAGAACTTACTCGTTGGAAGACGTCACTGTAATTAGCCGTGATGCAGATGTCCGGATTGAGGCAGCACGAGATAGGGATCACTTTCTGTGGTGACAGCCTTATCCAGTCAGTGTAGTTAGATACGCCACAGCACCGCAACTGTAACACACGCACGGAGTTGTTAATTCACTGACGACAAGAGAGAGGTAATTAACTAAGGATAAGAGGACGTTAACAGTGCTTTGTTAACTTGTTACCTAAGCATATAACTACTTAGGTAGTAACCTAATTATTATTACATTATGAGTAGGTACCTAGGTCCAGGTTATAACCTGATTAAGTACCTAAGTATGTAGTCACCAATAATATACATATTTTGACGAACACTAATGGGATAGGATAGTTTAGAACTGGAGGAGAAAAGTTAAAACTTATCATCAAACACCTATGAGTGTTCGTGTAGGTAGGTACTTAGATTTGTAAAGTAGGTATCTACTCACATTTTTTTGTGCGAAATCAAAGTTGGCCTTGTGGGGATAGGTGTTGGTGATAGTCTGGGTGAGACCGTCATGTAGACTTTTGGCGAAGGTGTCCCGATAACATGCTGCGGCTGCCCCTACTCCCGCGTCCATAATAAAGATACAAGCCAAGAATCCACCGTACTGTAAAAAGTGAATATATTTTTTCTAAACACTTGTGTGAGGAATAAAATAAAAGAAAGAAGAAAGAAAGAAAGAAAGTGTATAGTGTGAATGAGATAATTAATGATGAAAATGGGGACTGCACAAATCTCAAGTAGGTAACTTAGAACAAAGGTTGGATCGATAAACCCTCACATAAGAATTAATTTTAGTGTTCTGTAGTTCAGCATAAAAGGAGGTAGATAACTTGCTACACTTACGATGTACAGCAACACAGGCTGGCCCTTGATGATGCAGGAGAAAGCTATAGAGCTGACGAGGACGATGAGACAAGCGATACCAATGAGTACGTGAGGGGCAGTCCCGGAGAACTCAGGAGATAGCTCCATATACTTGTGAAGGTCAAACTCGGCCCATAGTCCCACCAGCAACAGTAGCAGCCCTGTGAACTGAGACGCATGTTTTTACAACCAACACTAAACCAATTAAATATTTTATGCACGTTCTGATTTCACTTTGGATTTCTATCGAAGAAGGTACTTACGAACATACAAACAATTCTTGAGGTTTTAAAATTGCTAATTTTGAAGATCTCGTCGTCGAGGATATCGTAAGAACGGGTGCAACGATTGGCAAATAAATTTTTGGTTGAGAAACCCTATAAGTACAAGGATAGTCACACATATAAATAAATAATAATAATAATTTGGTAATATGTACTAGGTATCTACCTAGAACCATATGGAAATAGTAGAGTAGTTTATAGGTATATCTAATTAGCCTGGAATCGAATCAATTATACAAAATTTAAGTTACGCTGGTAGTTAAACTTGTACCTTTACAATTGAGATCTTCCACAAAGGAATTTAATGAGAATCAGATGATAACAGGTGGACGTTTAATACCTAAATCTTATCTCAAAAGTGATGAACTCAGAAGGAGGTACTTGACAATATAGATACTTATTAAATATATCCATATCCATAATTTACTTCATAAAATAGATTTTTGTATTTAACAGGTAATCGCTAACAAAACAAAAGAATTACGAAATAAACTATTTAAAACTTACCCAAAATACGACGTTGAAAACAAAAAGAAACGTTTTTAAACAGGCTATCACCGCCACGTTTTTGAATTGGTTGCCCATTTTATTTTAAATATATTTAAACATTTAATTCAGAGTAGCGTTACTGTTTGTTTATCCATATGTTTGTGCTAGGCGTCTTGGGGAGCATTGAATGTCACAGGGGCCGAAGCTTTTACGCATGCGCAAAATAATCGGCGTCTTCACCCTGGGCCTTTTAGAAAATACCTATACTTAGTAGCTAGATACGTTTTTGTTTCATATGACAACTAAGCTTACGACGTTTGAATCCTATCACTTTATACAATTATGCTAAATTATGTTAAAATGCATGCAGTAACTTAATAGCTACCTACTTTATCAAGTAAGTAGTTGTTTTAGTTAGCAGTAGCATGTTGATTGGTATCATGTTCATGAGATGAGACTACTACAAACAGAGAATACACTGTAAACAGATTACCTAAGTATATATAGAATATTTTTTTTAAGGGGGGAAAATCATCGAATGACTGCTCCCGCCTGGGTGAGGCGGGAGGGAGTGTCAGACTCTTACTGACTAAAAACCACCCCGTTCCTTCTCCTGCACGTCGAGCCGGAGCCCCGGTTACCCGTTAGGTTCTCCGCGACATATATAGATTTAATACCTATTAACAGTACCTACTAACAGTAAAATTCCCATGAAATTAGAACTCAGAAACTACGGTCACAGAATATATTTAGAAATGGCATTGACATTTTAAATTACCGCAGTTTCAATAGAGCTTTCACTCTCTTGCAGCGTCCGTAAATTTCTCAGAATCAGTGCACAAGTCCAGTTTATTTTTCAGTCTATATCATACAGGCTGCTTTGAACTTCAAATCCTTTCAAGCACGGAGGTCGCGAGTAACTGTGCCCATCCAAAAGCGTAGCTTGTCTCGGCGTTATTATTGGTTAGTCGCTCGGTGGCCACTGCAGCGCAAACGCATGTGCGTTCATAGCGCCGGCGCCCGCGCAATCGCGAAAGCATTCACGTAAACGCGTATATTTTTTACCGGATCATATTTTTTATTTAATGTGTCGCTATAAATTTTTAATCAGGACATGATGGTTTCCCGAACGTATTTATTTTTGATTGGAATAATTTTTCGAATTAATTTTGTGTGCCCTATCGCTGAAATTGATGAAAACGAAGGTGAGATGTTATGTATTCCGTTATGTATTCTGTACTTATAAATTAATGAGTATTATAATTGACCCATCGTGTGTCTAAACAATGTATTTTCTATTGTTTGTGTTATACGGCAATTCAGGTTTAAATGTCAACTTTATATGTAAGCTGAAAATAGTACCAATATTAAATACGAAGCCACCATAAAATCTTTTAAAATAAATGAGTAAGTAACGCGTTGTAGATTCAAAGTTATCTAATTTTGATAAAACATAATCAATTATCAAAAGGCAACGTTGCAAATTGAATACCGATGTATGTAAATAGAAACCTTATTTATTTATTTTTTATACATTACAAATTAATACCTGCACTAGTATTTTCTTTGGTTACCTTTAGATAAAAACGATGTGATCACTAATTTACACCCAGCTGTAACAACAATAAAATTATATTCATTGGAACACAAAAATAATATTCTATCTATTTGGGAACCGAATTTGCGACACGTTGCGTAGCAGCAGCCAGTACCTGCCTATACATTACCGGAGCAAATATTCAAACCTTGAAGAATTGAAGATTTGATACTAACACCCCTTTTGATCACTTATGATAGGTAAAATTTAACGACATATCATTTTCAATAGGACAAGGTTCGGGTTATTTTAGGTGCACTTACTTAAGTAACTCTTAGTTATGAGAGGGTCTAAAGATGGTTGGTAAAAACGTAAATAAAATTAATTTACGTAGGATGCATGTATATCTATTGATTGTCAGATTATTAACAACACAAAATAAGTTACAATAACATTTCATATGAATGTGCGTGTTGTCCATGCCTCCATTATATGCTCTGAATAGCAGCCCGATACCAATGGATCAATTTGGATAAGAATTCGATCAGAAATCTCACTCATACGATTCATTGAAGTTCTTTCCTGATAATATTTGTTCTGTGCGGGAGTTGAACTCCTGACACACTGCGTACTAGACTATCAGACTGGTAGCCTATCTACTGCGCCAATCGTGAAGTCAAATGTTTATTTTTTTTATTTTTACATCCAACTTCCTAATGGTATTGCTCGAAATTGAATCTAGAATTTGCGGTAGTTGAGCTGACATAATATGTCTAGGTACATATAGGGATTTCGATCCGAAGGATCACCATATTTGCTGCTACTGTGAATAAGTCATACGCAGTTTTAGTCCTTGTCAACCATAATCCTTATCCTTACTAATATTATAAATCGGAAAGTGAGTTTGTTTGTTTGTTCCGCTTTCACGTCGTAACTAGGTACTAAACAGATTGCTTTGAAATTTTGCAGGCGTAAAGTTAAAAGTCTGGATTAAATAATAGGGCACTTTTTATCCCGGAAAAATTTGATATTCTCGAGGAAAACCGAAATCATTGGTATAGATGGCGTTGTGTGTATATGTCACATAGGCTACTTTTTATCCTTTTGTGACGTGAGCGAAGCCGCGGGTAAAAGCTAGTATTATACAAACTCTAGCAATAAAAATTATGTAGACGTACTCCGAAGCTCGAGGATAACCTGTGGTATTTCGCCTTCTTTGAATTACCCCTCCCTAGTCTCCCGAATCTCCGTATCCTCCACAATACGCAAATTCACAATTCTCAAAAGCGCGATAACGCACTTGTAACGCCTTGGTGTTTCGGGTGTCCATGGGCGACGCCGATTGCTTACCATCAGGTGATCCGTCTGGTAGTTTACCGGCTTATGCAATAAAAAAAAATGCCCAAAGGGTGTATTGTTTACTGGTTCTATTATCTAGTACATGATCATAAAAATACACCAAACGGTTTAAAAGTAGATTCTTAAGGAAAACGCTCCGTTTTCTAGTTCACAACGGAGAACAATATTGTTCAAAAAATTTAATATGCGTGTCCGGCACAACCTACTTTTAATTTGCATTCTCATTTTATCACACTCCATTCAGGCAATTTGAATAGAAATATACCAAGTACCGTACATACTGCGGTGCAATGTATTAAAAGCACTAAGTAGGTAGGTACGATACAATGTTCTGATTGGCTAGTATTTTTGTATAGAAACACTAAACTAGGTCTACCAGTTTGTTGTTAGTCTCTTTATTGTCATTAAAAATAACAACTTTTTGTATTGCTCATTAAAATCTTTTAAGCACTCAGTTCGACACTATGGATGCCATAATTATACTCATAGTCGACATTTAGACTAAGTAAAGACCACACTCTAGAATTCTAGATAGATTCTATAAATTGCTAAACGAGGCAGTCAACATGACAAAAATAACTTTTCTACCTAAATAACAGCACAGTTTAATTTGTTTTAAGGATTCAGGAATAAGAGAATGCGATTAACCGAATCTCACACTAAGATTTATGATATCACAATTTCTAATTACATTCTCTACATGGTTTATTGATTGTGATCCTCGCTGTCAAATATTTATTCAAAGAAAGAACTTATTTTTTTAAATAAAACCTTAAAATGTCTGATAAAATTAAACCCATCAGATGCTAAAAAAAATAGGGTTTATGAAGCCATTTTTAAAATAACATTCAGTTTTGTCTTATTTGGTACCGCTAGCTGGGAAAATTAGCATCTCATTGAAATACACCACAAGACCAGTCGCGTTAATAAAATAAAAAGTTGAATAATGGCGCAGCTCCTTGTCGACTTATGCGACTATTATACCATTTGTCGCACGCGCAAGTTTACGCAACATTGCAGCACAGCATGCATTGCTCTGATACAGCTACAACGATCCTCACTTACCGCAAACTATCGACGTTTCACACTTTTCCCACATTATTGCTGCAATAACCTTAACGGCACTCATGTAATTCACGTCAGCCGCGAAGATGAACGTGTGATAACCCTCCGTCGATATTCTTTGTGAAGCTAACGAACGAGACTGCATAACTATAGACTATACCAACCACGGCTAGAACGTAAAGGGTTTGTGGTAACGGTATGGTGACATCCTACATAATTACCATGTAACCGTATCCAAGTGTGCTGGGGCTGGGACATATTCAAACCTGGCAGGAAACGTTCGTCTAATGTTATCTATGTCACAGATCGCAGCCGCGCCGGGAAGGCGGCCCATCTGCACAGCTTATCTCACCATCTCCGAGATTGCTTCGGCCAAATTAACTGCACTACAGAACAATTGGTATCGCCACTATATTTTAGTACACGTCTATTTCTGATTACGCCTCTGTAATCAGCAATCTACGTCTACATTATTTCTATTGTTTACATGACATGGACCAATTCGATTGATAAGTATAGGTAGTTACCAAAATCTCCGGCGATGGTATCTAGGCCGTGGACAATGACAGATGGCTCGTAACGAATTGTATTCTTCTATTTTCTGATTGTTAAGCAGGTACGATATGGAAAAGAAAGATGCCAATAGAGCTAGCACGGCTAAGCGTTACACCGCACCGAAGCGTTTAGGTCCGTATTAGATTGATGTTTGAGCATGAATTTCAATTTAAAACCTTACCTAGATTTGAAGTACCTATAGTGTCAGTATACAATCTGTTAGTTTTACCTAAATCGGGATTCGTGGTTGAATATTATAATACAATGGGCTTCTGACGACCATAATAAAATGCTTAACGATAACAAGAGACAATCGCCGTAGGCTGACCGCGTTCAGCCAAATCACAGATACCGTCAGGTCGGGCCCAGCTAATGCTCGTTTCTGGCTAACTTGGATTATGATGGATTACCCGTAGCCGGTGCAAACTACGGCAAAAACAATGCACCAACTACACTGTTTGTACAGTACAAACGAGGTAATCTATCTACTGTTTTTGGATTTTACATAAGTAGGTTCTGCTCCTTTTGTATCATATGACGTAGGCAGTTGATAAACATAATTTTTTAATTAGGTATGCGTATGTGCCAAATTTTTTAACGGGTTTTCGACACAATTATCAACTTCTCTTTATTGTTGATTTAACTGATATTTCTATTAATCTTCGTTCTGCATACATTACCTACATTTACATCAAAACGATGGTTCTAGCCGTACGTACTCCTACGTATTACTGTTTATTTCGTGTTCTAATAAAAGTTTACCGGTACGATATGGCGTTGCCACAACAGCCACAAACCATTTATTTGATACATTCAATCGCAGAAATACCGAAGATGTTCATCTCAAATTTTGCTAGAGCAATTTTTGCCGGTCAATCAATTTTAGCGTGTCGATATGGTATGGTAACGCTACACGTGATTGTATTGGGTGAGCAGATGCGGTTCCATAGTGTGCATGTCATTACATCGGCCGAACATTTCGCGGTCGGTATTAGCATGCAATAACGGTAGCGAGTGACTCGCGAACTCGCAGTGACAACCCCGACCTGCCCGGTGTGATTTTATTCCTATAACATTACCGCCACACTCAAGCAAGACCTCGGTCCAAACATTGTTATACCTCTACAAGTATGATATATGTATGAGTAAAATGTCGCGATTCACGATTGTTTTGCTCTTGTTTTGTGACAGTGACCCGCTAAAGGGGCCAAGTGTGAAACTGCTTTCACTGGACGTGTTTGACAGCACGTCACGCTAATTAGCTGATAATTTCATTTTAGATCTGTTGATAACATCTGTCGTAATATTAAAATGAGTAGTGCCGGTTCCTCGAACGTGCTAAGTCATTCATTGGTTTACTATCCAGTTAACATGAATGTACTAACATGGCTACTTATCATAATATGTTTTTGATTTCTCGCGTGAACTAAATGTCGCGAAACTCGGTCATTGTGTGTATCGGACAGGTGCTAGGTGCAAAAATAATTTTAAACAATAGATAGTACTAAAATAGATTGATAACATAGTGCAGTAATAAATAAAAACTGGGTATTTTGTAAGGTGCATCGAAGGACTTTACCAAATTGCATTCGCCGCGCTCTAGCGCCACAAAGTTATTCAATTTTAATCGGAAGTCGAAATCGTGCGCGACACCGTCAGTTTTCCTGGAGCCAATGCCCTAGGCACCCA